AACGCCAGCCGCTCCCGCGCCCGGGGCCGTCGGGGAGGCCCTGCGGAGCAGCCTCCTGGGGCCACGGCGCGCTGCAGGGCTCCCACGCGCTGTCTAGGGGGCCCCCTGGGCTCACCGCTGCGCCCGGCTGCTCAAATCAGGAAATAAGAGCGAGCGAGCGAGCAAGCGAGCGTTATCAGCCCCTCCGATCACACGCACACGCGCTCCTGGGTGCAGGGCGCCGCAGGCTGCGCGCACAGGCGGGCGCCCAGACATGGATGCCCAGGACCGAGCCGCACTGGATATTTCCACCAGGAACCCCCAGGACGACTTCGAGCTGCTGCAGAGAGTCGGCGGCGGGACGTACGGGGAAGTGTACAAGGTAGGGCCGAGGATGTGTCCCGCTCCCTTGCCTGCGTGCGATGCTGAGCGTCGCATGGGTGGGGGACGAGTCTCCACTACCCTGCCGAGACCCCGGGGTTTTGGGGTGCTGGGGGAACACGTCACCCTTTGTGCCCGCGCGGGGCGAGGGCAAGCGGTGCAGGGAGCTCCGGGAGCCACGGCGGCGAAAGCAGATGCAGGAGGCGAAAGGGCCAAGCAGGGCCAAGACCTGCACCTGCCTGGGACAGTGCTGGGGACAAAAGCGTCGGCAGGGCCGGCACCCCCTGCACCCCTGCCTGGGGCAGCCAGGCGTGTTGAGGTGCTTGCTGCTGGCTGCGGGTCGTGCTCGGGGCCCAGGGTGCTGCAGGCGTTGGACTCAGCCCCCTTGCACAGCCCTCGTGGTCCCTCACCTGGGTTTGGAGGGGCAGAAGAGAAGGGCCCAGCTCGGGCCTTGCTGAAGGAAGTGCAGTGGCACTGATTCCCTCCGTGCCCCCATGGGCGTAAATCAGCAGAAGCCCCCTGGAAACAGCGTGGGCGCGAGTAGGGCCCGATCCCTCGGCTGGGGTGGACCCTCGGACTCAAGGGGACGGTGTCCCCAGGGCCCCGGCAGGTGGGAACGGATGTCCCTGTCACCTCCCCCCACCCCGTGCACAGTCATCCTCACCGGAGGGAGTGGGTGTGAAATGCCACAAGCTTCCCACGCGCCACAGCTCACACCCACTCGGCTCCCAGCCTGCCCCACTGGAAACCGTGTCAAGGCAGCTGAGGGGCAGGGGTCAGGCTTCCCTGGGCCCAGCGCGGCTGGAGTCAGGCCGCTTGGCCCGCAGCGTCGGGGACCCATGGTACCCCTCAAACATGGCGGCTTGGAGGGAGCAACATAGCAGTGGGCTGTGCGGGGCTCCATTGCCCGCTGCTGAGATGCGCCCAGCTCTGGGGTGGACCAGGGAAGCTGTTCATTCAGCTGGTCTAGAAAGACAGTCACCTCTGGGCTGGGGCAGGGCAGCTGGTCGCACAGGGACCCCGAAATGCAGCTGGGTGCCTCTGCGGGGGAGATGCACAAGATATGGGAAGGGAGGCAGCTTCAGAGGAGGGTTGGGAACAGTTTGGGGCGGCAGTGGGACAGGCGGGCACAGGCTGGGCACCGAAGTTTGCAGGCTGTCAGGGCAGGGCCGTGGGAGGAGGGAGCCCGGTCCCTGCTGAGAAACCCCGGGGGCCTGCCTGTAGCACCACAGCCCCGGGTGCAGGTGCCCCCGCCTGCCTCCCAGCAGCTCCAGCACAGGGTCCGGTGCCCCAGCTGCCACCAGAAATGCCCCAGGGGCTGGAGCCGGGGCTGAGCACCGGGACCACGGGTCTTTGCAAGACCGTCAGTATCACGGGTGACATTGGCCTGTCCCTTGATGCCAATGCCCCTCACTCCTGACCCCACACCGGTTCTAGCCCCAGCCCCATCCCACCCTGCCCTATCTCTGCTCCCTGCTTCCCTGCGGCCTGCAGGGCCCAGAGCCTCTCCGCAGCGCCTGCGCCCACACCACAAGCTGCCGCAGGCCCAGGGGAACTCCCGGCGCCGTTGACACAGCCATGAGCACTGTAGACCGGGACTCGGCGCCTCCAGGCAGCTCAGGACCCAGCACGGCCCTGGCGGCACTCGGCCCTGCCCCGGGAGCCTCTGCTGCTCTGGGCTTGGGGCCGCAGGATGCTGGGGACTGGGACGAGGGGGGTCCTGGGGGCATCTGGGGCAGGCAGCAAAGCTCCTGGATCACAGCAGGTGTCCTTCCTCGTGCCCCCCCATGCAGGTTCTTGCGCTGACATACACACAGATCTTAGATCGCAGCAGGCTGCACACATACACACACACACCAATGCAGGTTCTTGCACTAACACACACACACACACACACACACATCATGAATCACAGCAGGCTACACACACACCAGTGCAGGCTCGTGCACTGACACAGGCGTACACACACACAGATCCTAGTCACAGCTGGCCGCACACATACACATACATACCAGTGCCAGTTCTTACACTAATACACACACACACACACACACACACAGATCCTGGCCACACACACACACACACACACCTCAAAGCAGGTCCTTGCCCTAATATGCCCTAATATGCACATCACGAATCACAGCAGGCTCTACATACACACACACATCAGTGCTGGCTCTTGTGCTGACACGCACACACACAGATCCTAGATCACAGTAGGCCACACACACACACACACACACACAATGCAGGTTCTTGCACTAACACACACACACACACATCCTGAATCACAGCAACACACATCAATGCAAACTCTTGCACTGGCATGCACACACACAGTTCCTAGATCATAACAGGCCACACATACATATATATACACAACGATGCAGGTTTTTGCACTAACACACACACACATCCTGAATCACAGTAGGCAACACACACATCAATGCAGACTCTTGCACTGACACGCGCAGATCTTAGATCACCACAGGCCACACACATACATACACACACACACCAATTCAGGCTCTTGCACTAACACACACATATCCCAAATCACAGCAACAACACACACGCACAGCAATGCAGACTCTTGCACTGGCACGCAGAGATCCTAGATCACCACAGGCCACACTCATACATACACACACACACCAATGCAGGCTCTTGCACTGACACACACACACACACACACACACACAGATCCTGGATCACAGCAGCCTATACCCCACCTCCATCACAGCCAGCTTCACACCCCAGAGGTGGCTGCACCTCCGCGCTGGGTGAGCATCCAGGTTGCTGTCTGGGGCCAGGAGACAGGAGCTCGGCCTCCCTTGCCAGTGCTGAGCAGGCGAGAGGCACGTGCCCTGTACACATCTCTCTGCTGAGAGCAGGGCTAAACCCCCCCCGTCCCCCCACCCCCCCCCCCAATTCCTCTCCTGCCCCATGGTCTGAGAGCCTCGCTGGCTGGCAACAAATTCAGGCCTCGAGGCAGAAGGCACCCAGGACACACACCCCCTCCCCCCCAGGACCCCCCGGGGCCCTGGGACCTTCCCAGCCTCCACACACGTTGGGTCAGAAATAAAAAGCAGAAGCAGCGAGCACTTTCGGTCTCGGTGGCTGTACAGAAACCCTCAACCCGCCGGGCTCCCCCGGGGGGGGAGGGCGGGAGGCACTCTGCTGCTCTCATTTCACTTCCTGCAACATTTGCCTGGCAAAAAATGTCCCCAGAGCCCCCTCCTCACGCTACCAGTGTGTGTGTGTGTGTGTGTGTGGGGGGGGGTGTTCACACATGTGCAGCCCCCTCTGCAGCTATGAGCCGTATGCCAAGGGGGTGGTCTCTGACACAGGCCACAGCTCCCCCACCCTGATGCCCTTCATTTTTGTTCACATAGGCGAGGAGCAAAGACACAGGCGAGCTGGCGGCCATAAAAATCGTGAAGATAGAGCCAGGTGCGGCACGAGACAGAGCTGGGGGGAAGAGAACCCCCCCCCCCCCAATCAGGCAGAATGTGACCCCCAGAGACCCGTCCCCCACCATTTATTACAGTGTCAGGCCAGACTGGGCCTCCCTTCCGCCCCTTAGCACCACCTCCCTGCCACCCTCTGCCCGGGGAGCCTTGGCAGCCTCCCCCGCTGCCTGCTGCCCAGTGCTGTCCTAGCATCACCTCCCAACAAAAGCAGTGGCACTGGGAACCGCCTCCCCCCTACCAGATGGCACTGACACCCCTGCAGAGCCTGGCCTTGCCCCCCAGGTCAGAGCAGAGCCTGCTAGTCGCAGCTCCCCATGGCCCCCATCTCCCACCCGCTCCCACCCAGGGTCAGATCCGTGGACACCTTGTCTCTGGCCTGGTCCAGTCCCCAGGGAGGGCACAGAGGGGAGTGGGGCCTGAGACAGCCCCCGAGACCTCTTGCTGGGGGGGCAGGGGGCAGGGACTGGGGCGCGCACGGCACTGCACGTGGAGGGAGCTCCCTGCTCCCCCCTGCCCAGGCAGAGACCTTCCTGGCGGCAGCTGGCAGCAAGGTGGGGGCTGGCAGGCAAGTTACCGTAACATCAGCAACATCCTCCCCGTTTCCTCCCCGCGCGCCTCGCCTCGCCTCGCCGCGCACCCCCGCCCCGCAACAGGATGCGGCTGGGACAGCCCGGGAGGGGAGGGGGATTGGGGCCCCAGCCCCTTGGGTGGCCTGGGGGGCCAGGGCTGCAGGCTTGAGGGGGGCTGGCAGCCAGCAGGGCACTGCCAGCAGGTG